TTTGCGTTACACAATGGGGAGTTTGCATTAATTTGAGCTTTGCTATGCGCGACTGGTTGCAGACGAAGACGAATACAGATAGATGCGATGGAACTAGGTGAACATTGGGTAAAGCAACAAATAAACAGAGAAAATATTGAAGCGAGAGATAGATAAATGGGATCGTTGGTTGGATGAACAGAACGATGAGGATGACTTAATGATACTGCATCCGCTTATCATAAATAAACAAAATGGTTGTCGTTAAACGCGCAAAAAAAACGATTATATCTCCAAAAGAGTTGATTGACTCGTTCTGAACCTTTCCATAAATCTCAATCGACGCGAGCCAATTCAAATGACATTCTATAATCCCTTCAAAAAACACCATCTCATTTATCATGCAGGTGAACTTTATTCCATATCGAGTGCAATTTCAAGTCAAATCATTCACTGCACATTCGTTAGGTTCGCCTCTGATTATCAGACTTGTCCAATCAGTCAAAATTTACAATTAATCATGAAAGCAGCCCTAATATCAGACTCGTATGAAGGTGTTTCCACACTGGATGTGAAAGCGGTGGAAAATGCAGCATTTAAGAGGAAAACTAGATCTGTTCTTATGCTAACTGAGAGTATCTTCTCATATGGGTTTTTTTGCCCGAATTTTGCAGGTCATATCAATGAATTAGAAACAATTGGACACATCCAATTAGCAGATAATGTATAATATGAACAATAGTGTTACACATGAGAAGACATTTATTTAAGGATACATGACAACGTTTATCAATCAATGGTTCATGATCGGTTCTGTAGTACTGGAAAAGACGACGTTCATTATTAGACGTTTCACAATCATTATTTCGTTGCTTTTGACACACTGGTTTTCTTGAGCGGATAGACTCTCGACGGTTCGCTGACTTGGTCTGAGCTTGTTTTAGTGGAGGAGGTGGCGGTCTTTTTTGGTGTTGTCGAGACTTTTGAGGGGGTTCCAGACGATTTGGCAGTTGCTTTTGCTGGTGTGGTGGTCGCCGTTGCTTCACCTTCGTTCGCGCCTTCAGTGGCATCAGACTTTTCGGCAGCTTTCTTTTTCACAGTCTTCTTCTTTGGTGGAACTGCAGGGGCGGTTTTGGTTTTCGGCTAAAATTTTTGCTGAGTTGAAGTGCGAATCAAGCAAATAAGTAATGAAAACATCGAACGCACTTCTCGTAATATGATCTGAGAAATGATTACCGTTGATGCCAATTTGTCAGATCACATTACGAAGAAATCGATCGTCTGCTGAACTAGCTGAGACCAATTAACTACTACTATTAAAGAGCCAATACGTGAATAGGACAGCAACGAAATTTCGACTGAGAAGCACTCAAAATCATCACTCTTTATCTAATAAATAAAAATCGCTATGCACACAAATATGCATTCACACAATTCGCTCAGAAGAGATACGATTCGCCGGTGAATGGACTTCTCAGATCTCTAGATCGTACGATTCAATTTTTAGGAAAGCGAGTCCACAAAATTGTATTTTTAATTTCTCGATCTCGATTTCAGCCTATTAACAT